GGTTTCTTCTGGTTCCTTACAACTCATTGAAGCCCGTCGGTCTACTCCGGGTGACCGTGAGTTTGACCATAAACGAAGGATGTTACGTAAGGAAATTGGGCAAAGCTTGCGTAAGGACCGAGAAGCCTGGTGGTCGAGCGTGCTAATGAGCTGGAAGCAGCAGCTGCATCTGGTAACTACCGGAAGCTCTTCCAACTCATCCGAGCCACTGGCAGCAAGAAGTCTGGTGTGAGTGAAACAATCTGCGAGGATGATGGGATGCCAATCACTAACATCCATCGACGTCTTGGACGATGGGCAGAATTTTTCGAAGGGCAGTTCAACTGGCCTGCTGCTCCGGCAACATCGGTCAGACTGTCCTGCCCTCCATGGCCGGTGACGACTGATCCACCAAATGAGGAGGAAGTCCGCAAGGAACTCCAACTCTTGAAGCGTTACAAATCACCTGGCCCAGATGACTTACCTCCGGCTCTTTTTAAAGATGGTGGTGACTTTTTGACTAAGGAATTGACGACGTTGTTTACAAAGGTTTGGGAACTAGAGAGTGTACCAACGTCATGGAATGAGTCGATAGTTGTCCCTATCTTTAAAAAGGGTTCACGTCGTTCCTGTAACAACTATCGGGGGATAAGTCTACTTCCGATTGCGTCCAAGCTATTGGCTTCCGTCACTTCGTAGGTTGTTCAAAACCCGAGAAAGATTGACTCGCGAGGAGCAGGCTGGGTTTCGTTCTGGTCGAGGATGTATTGATCATATCTTCACCCTCCGCCAAATGTTAGAACACCGCCATACTTATCAAAGGCCAACAATCGTAGTGTTTCTTGACATCAGGGCTGCCTTCGATTCGTTGGACAGGACTGTTCTCTGGGATTGTCTATTGAAGAAGGGTGTGCCTGAGAAGTTTATTAACATCCTAAAAGCCCTATATAAAAACACCTCAGGCAGAGTGAGGGCATACAACCACCTCTCTCCATTGTTCCATTCGAGCAGTGGGGTTAGGCAGGGTTGCCCAATCTCACCATTCCTCTTCAACTTTGCCATCGATGACATTCTGGAAACAGCTCTGATGAATGTAAGTAATGGTGGTGTGGATCTGTTGCCTGGAGAAAGACTTCTCGACCTTGAGTATGCGGACGATATTGTCTTACTGTGCGATAATGCCCAAGGCATGCAATCCGCACTTAATCAGTTGGCAATCAGTGTCCGTAGGTATGGTATGTGCTTTGCACCTTCGAAGTGCAAAGTACTTCTACAAGACTGGCAGGATTCCAATCCTGTACTCACCCTGGATGGTGAGCAGATAGACGTAGTCGAGAAGTTCGTGTATCTGGGTAGCTGCATAAGTGCTGGTGGGGGTGTGAGTGATGAGATCAATGCACGAATAGTGAAAGCCAGAGCGGCTTATGCCAATCTGGGCCACCTTTGGCGCCTTCGTGATGTTAGTCTGGCTGTAAAAGGTCGGATCTACAACGCGTCGGTGAGAGCAGTTTTGCTCTATGCTTGTGAAACCTGGCCTCTCCGAGTTGAGGACGTTAGACGACTCTCTGTGTTCGATCATCGCTGTCTCCGAAGGATTGCTGACATTCAGTGGCAACACCATGTCAGTAATGCAGAGGTTCGGCATCGTGTGTTCGGGCACAGAGATGATAATTCAATTGGTGTCACCATCTTGAAACACCGACTTCGGTGGCTTGGACATGTTCTCCGAATGTCGTCCCAGAGAATTCCACGTCGTGCATTATTTGCCGACTCTGGGACTGGTTGGAAGAAGCGGAGAGGTGGTCAGTGCATGACATGGTGTCGTGGCATGAAAGAAAGCTGCAAAGGACTGGCTTGTGTTGGTCCTTCACGACTCCCTGGTTGGGGTCTGAGAGATGGTGCTACACAGTGGCTAGAGACGTTATCAGATATGGCTCAGAATAGAAGCCAGTGGCGATCCTGCTGTAACCTTCTTTTACTTTCTTCATAAAAAGTGGTTGTGTCTCCTTACCTGAAAGATTTCTTCTGATTGTACCTTTCCGTTCCCTCATTATTACTACACTACCTTACACCAATCTCTTCGTTATTGTTCTCTTTTTTTACGCTCCTTACCTTTTTTTTCTCTTCGAATTCTCATTGTTTTTTGTGGCGCATATATATTGGCGCTCTCTTGTACCAATATTTATGTGTTCAAATAAATAATAAATAAATAAATAAGGCGAATATCTCGGGATATTTACTTCACTTGACACTTCTACAGTATCATATTTTACACATAACCTACTGCAGAAGTACAAGCAGTATTTATACTGTTTTGAACGTACAGATCGTGTGATGAGTTAGTTTTATCCTCACTCCCGATCTATAAGAAAGAACAAAAATACCCTTTTTATAATCACAGAGGAATCAGTTTAACTAACATAATGTCTAAAATATTAACCTCAATAATAATTCAACGTCTAACCTGAGAAAACCGAGCTGGTTTCAGACCCGGACGTGGTTGTATAGACCAAATATTCACCCTTCGGCAGATTATGGGACATAGACAATTTTCGGCGTCCACCTCTGGTTGTGTTCCTTGACCTTAAGATGGCACTCGACTTCAGTGATCATGAGATTCTGTGGCAGTGTCTGTCATTAAAAGGCGTACCAAAGTACATTAACCCTGTACAGGCCCTCTACGTGAACGCTACTGGTCGAGTCAGATCTTCTGGGGAAAAGTCGTCGGAATTGGTTGCTGTAAGTGGTGTTCATCAGGGTTGTCTGCCTTATCTATTCTTATTTAACATTGTCATATACATGATATAGAGATAACGCTTTATTCGTCTGACATTTTAGGACTTGACCTTCCACTAGAAGATTCACTTTTTGATTTAGAATACGTGGACCATGTAGTTTTGTTTGATGCAGTTTTTTGACCACCTTAAGGAACAATGAAAATTTGTTTGGGATGTGATTGTCTCCTTTCAAATGCAAAATGGTGCTTTAGGATTGGATCATGGCTTTTGAATGGATGTTAGGGAGTGGAGTAATTGAACGCATCGAGTGCTTCACTTATCTCGATATTCTCATCAATCCTGGCGGCCTAGTGTTTGACAAAATCTCGACACGGATTCAGAATTCTTGGTTTAGCAGTAGAATACTAGGTGAGGATGGTAAGTTGATTGATAGGCTGGTGAGTCTCTATCAACCGAGGTGGTTGGGCGTACGTAACACATGTCCCAACCACCGCTTACCTCAACGGGCGATGTTGATCGGTATATGCGTTGGGTGGAAATAAGCTAGGGACGGCCAAACCAAAACATGGCATCAGTTCATGAAGTCATCGACAGTCGACTATGGCCATGCTTTTAGGTGTAAACTACGCGGTTGAGGTTCGCTTGCTCATTTTGTCTAGCAGTTATAGACTTCAAATTACACGGTGCAGGTCCATCCATACTTTGTCTTCCCCCAAATTCTAAATTCATAATTTCCATGTTTTTATTTCACTAATTTAGTTTTTGCCCCCAAATGCCCTGGTACGACCGAGAGTGGGGAGAGTCCACTCTCCTTCTCGAAATGCTCTCACATGGACACGCGTATATAGCCTCTGGCAGGGAAGTCCTACTCACTGCCTTCTCGTGGCGGGGGTGTTGTTTGCGAAATTGAGAGAACGAAAAGCGAATGTCCGGCTCTTTAACCGGGTTGGTGGACATGGAGAGTCCATCTAAGGGAGTTGGAAAACCCTGATTCCAAACCAATGGTGCGCATGGGCTCCAGTACCCTAAGGGAACAAATGGCGTATGAAGCAGTTATTGGTCACCGGCTACCATGGGACTGTATCTCCTTATGATGCTCCACTGCCTTGTGGATCAGACCTTCAGGTCGAAGGCTCCAGGTGTGGCTCCCTAAGAAAACCACCTGCTTCGATTTGGGCACCCGGAGAGTATCACAGCCCTCATACATATCAAATGAGATTTGTGTGGCGCATATGTATTTGTTGCCTCCTTGTACTAATATTTATGTGTTAAAATAAATTAATTTATAGTTTCTCGAAACGTATGTTCAATACCTAATTTCCCCTATTACCACTGATACTGTTACTACCTCTGCTATTGTGGGATTTGGTCTGATAATCTCATCTGTGTATGACAACTTGAACCGATGTGCATATGTACCGGGTTCTGTGTTGTAACTGACTGAATGACTGACTTACTTTGTCTTCATTCACCGTACAGATTCCTTCGTTGAGCTTTTTATCTGGATATCCAATTGTTCTTTGATGTTACTGGTTTATTGACTTGATTTACCTTTTCTATTCCACGAAAGGAGTTCTTCACTCTGCTTCGTGACACAATTATTCTAAAACTACGACTAACACACATTTTACTGATGCTCAAGTACAATTTTATGTTATGCTGAATAAGCCCAGTTATTTCAGAATACTTTGCATATGTTTATCTAGATGTCTCATGGCCTTTTCGTCCAAGATATTCAGCCGAATTACTTGACTATATCTGCGTTATAAGCTTTTAGTACTTAAAAATTCAGCTTAAGTAATCTATTTATGGTGAGAAAACTCTACACCATTTGTTTGTGTCCCAACAGACTAACATGTAGGTGTAATCCATAATAAATTCGTTTGCCGAACGTACAATCTCATTAAAGCATTTTGGATAGATGCCTTAGTGCTAACTGATGATGAGTTACTTATTAGTGAGCATCTACTTACAAGGGAAAGTTATTGTGGTTAATTTTATAATGTTGTCCCATTCGTGTTGATAATCTAGGGATACATGTTTATACCTTTGTTGGAAGTCAATAAAGTAGATAGATTTGTAAGTTGGTTTAGAAATATTAAGTCCAACCGTCGTAATTGTTATCATCAACCAATTACCCTCTGCATATAATTCTGATATAATTTGGACAAGTAATATTCATATATTTTGATAATCGTTGATTAATGATCTTCATTTTTTAGGCTTTTTCTCGAATGAGTTCTGTGATTAATATTATTCCCGTGGAGACTGATATTTAAAATTATGGATGGAAACCCTAGTACTCTTTCCATCTTATCAGATAAGGTAATATATTATTGTTTTATTTAGTTGATGTTCACATTTCTCCATCATTTAAAAATGTCAAATAGTCTCAATACTGTCAAATTTTAACTTGTTTTGTTGCATGTATGCACCTAATATTAGTAGATTGGTTCATCATGATATACAAGCCCGACATAATTTGTTCCGAATATTTTCTTAAGAAATTTATTTCCTTAAATTTTAACGTACTTCTGCCGAACTATTTGTTAATGTTATTCTATATTTTTTACTTTTTTATTAATTATCATTAGTTGCATAATTCACTTAATTATAACGATTGATTGTATTCATATTCATCAGTACATTGTTTGTTAAGTATTACTTCATACTGTAATATCCAAACAAGTCAAGTTTAGATGGAATATACATAAATTTATTAAGAGAGAACACAGATTATTTATGAAATATATACACCTAGTCTTCAATATTCCATTTGCGTTTCTTGTATGTACCGTAATCTAAGCTGGTTGTAGACTGTCCTCTATAGCTTCTCTTTGGATCTCACAAGTATTCTAAACTTTTCTTGCTTTCGGTTTCCTAAGATTCCTGACTGATGCAACTCCTATGCGACACTCCGCTGCATACTACTTATAAGGAATCTTGTAAGTAGTGTCTAGCACAATACACTAGTTGGAAAATTAATTTAATAATAAAACGAATCATGAGATAAACTAGAGATTACTATCTATTAAAAATATAAAAGATACAACTAAACAATGAATAATTATTCTCAGAATAGGGGTTTGTGTAAATTATAGTAATTTTAATAGTTAAATTCATGAGTTAATCTAATTTAGACCTTCTATGAAAACCAGGTTTTCAGTGGTGGCCTCCAGTCAGTCAACTACAACGTAAGACCCGGTATATATATGCATCGGTTCAATTTGTTACAGTGGTGGTCCAGCTTAGATCCAACTATCAGAGTAATTATTTATTATGATCTTTTATTTTTCACAGAAGTAAATGAAGATCATTGTAGAATTTCATTTTTCTCATTTCAAAATAAAACCCTTCAAACAATCATAATAATGGTAGTAGTAGTAGTGTAGTAAACGGACACTCAAGTGGAGAATACCAATTAATTATTTAATTCATAATCACCCAATAGTTTAGCAAAACGTGAAAACCATACATTTAATACATCATTTGCACATCTTCTTTGAATTGTCTCTTACAAGCTTCAGTATTCCTTTATTTCTGTTGTTATCTTTATTGCTTTCAATTTTCTTCCCTATTCTCTTTATTTCAATTTTCTCAACCTTATGCTTGCAAATATTCGACTTCTGACTGGTGTTACATACTACTTATATCTGCGGACATAAGTAGTACACACCACAATAGTGGTAATGAATATCAATTATTCAATCAAATGAATAAATTTTTTAGTACATAATATTTTAATGTAACAAATTATAAAGGATAAGATTACTTATAATTTCAATTTGGAAAATAGAATAAAAAATTAAAGCGTAGAAAATAGTGGCGAGACTCTAATTTATGGACGGGCCAATCACAAGCGTTTTAGAGATTTCAAGGTTACGGCGCCAACTTCAGTGCTTAATGCTAACGTACGATCGGTTCACAGGGAATTAGTATAAAAAAGAACACTAAGATCATTTACAATAAAATTGATGATATAAACCGGGTTTTCTTTGGAACACATAAAACAATCACTTTAGCTCGATTCACACATAACATATATATGTTAGGTTCGTTTGTTGTAAAACTGGATTTCTTTGTAGTGAGGTTCTTTTTTACAAGGTTAGATTAGTAGACGTACGTCCAATTCTCCTTCTTTGCGAAAAGTATCTCTATAGAGGTTGTAGGCCTCAACTTACACATCCTCAAATACAACACGGAAAACATCGACCTGATCAGATTTGATGGCGAAACTGTGGAAGATGTATAGTCTTTCATGTACCTGGAAAGCATCATCGATGAAAAAGAAGGATCGGATGCAGACGTAAAGGCGAGGATTAACAAAGCAAGGACTTCATTCCTTCGATTGAAGAACATATGTAATTCAAAACAACGGTCAACCAATATCAAAGTCAGAATCTTCAATATCAATGTCAAGACAGTCCTACTGTACGGAGCTGAAACTTGGAGAGCTACCACGACCATCATCAAGAAGGTGCAAGTATTTATAGATAGTTGTCTGCGCAAGATTCTCAATATCCGTTGGCCGGATATCATCAGCGACAGCCTTCTGTGGGAAAGAACAAACTAGTTTCCAGTTGACGAGGAAATTAGGAAAATACGTTGGAAGTGGGTAGGACACACACAACGCAAATCATAAAACTGCATCACGAGGCACGTGGTAACTTTAAATCCTTTAGGGAAACGGAAAAAAGGAAGGCCGAAGAACACACTACATCGGTAATCGGAAGCAGATACGAAAAGGATGAATAACAACTGGAAGGAGCTGGAAACGATTGCCCCGGTCAGGGTTGGATGAAGAATGCTAGTGGGCGGCCTATGATCCTCCACGAGGAGTAACAAGCGTAATTAAGTAATATTAGGTTGTGGCAAAGTAAATTTTATTCTTTTACACGGAACCATTTAGGATAAATATCTTTTTTTTTAACACTGAGAAATGATCCTAATTGAAAGACCTTTGTAATCAGCTTCAAAAAGACACCCTCTTAATTTAAAATATTTCAACAGGATTAGTTTACATTAACCATTAGGTTAATTATAGAAGGTGAATTAGGTGATTACAAGTTTCATCAGCTCTATTAAATTGGTGTCGAACAAAATCTGGTTATGCATTCATTAGCCTTGTTTATTTAAATACTTTATGTACGTAGAGATAGAGACAGAGTTTACACTCACATACTTTTCTATTGTTTATTTCAACCGATGATTTTTTCTGTTTTGTCTTAATTCACTTATTATCTAGTATGTTTTCTTAAATCCAAATGAAGATCAATTCTTATGTATAAAAAATTATTTGGATATAGAATTAGATAATGGACAAGGTGAATGCTTTTTGGAATTAGGTATTGGAGGTAAGTTAGTTGTTGTTTAATCTATTTATTTATTTTGCACCGCATAGACCATTCGATTTGTGTGAGGGCTGGGATACTTCTCGGGTGCCCAAATCGAAGCAGGTGGTTCTCTTAGGAGGCCACACCCGGAGCCTTCGACCTAAAAGTCTGACTCACATGGCAGTGGAGCATCGTAAGAAGATGCAATCCCATGGTATCCGGTGATCAACAATTGATTCATACATAATTTGTTCGTTCAGGATCCTGTAGCCCATGTGCACCATTGGTTTGAAATCAAAAGTTTCCAACTCCTCTGGGTGGTTCCTCTGTGCCCACCGACCCGGTTAGGGCGCCGGCCATTCGGTTTTCGTCCTCTCAATTTCGTGAAAAACACCCTCGCCACAAGAAGGCACTAAGTGGGACTTCTTGGCAGTAGTTTTATGCCATATGAAAGCATTTGAAGATAGAGAGCGGACTCTCTTAACTTTCGGCCGTACTAGGGCATTCGGGGGCTGTTTAATCATTTAATAATGAAAATTTTCTAAAATTTTAATTATATTGTATTATTGCATGGTTTTACATTTTCATGCAATAAATATTCTCAATTCATATCATTTGTCTATAATAAATATATTTTGTTTTGTTATTTCCTAATGAGTAGGAAAAAAATTGTATTTCCGACGTTTCGTGACTTAATGTAAGCCACTTCTTCAGAGGAAATATACATAGTTTATAATTTACAGAAATATCCTAAAATTATTGAAATTATCATCATCATTAAACCATATCATCCGATTCATTTACATGTAGATTAATTATTCAAAATCCGGTGATGTTTCTATTCTCTTATTTTAATTGGATAATCATCACCTGATCCATTCTATCTATCTATCAATCATAATTGATATGACTTTAACTATTAATGTATACAAGAAGGGATGAAGGAAAATGCAAGTGGAAAGAAGAGGAACTCTTATGAATAAAAATAATGATTACTTCTTTTTATCATAATAGTCCAATATTAAATGGATGCATCGACATTTTCTTATGAAAAAAGACTAATCATTTAGATTATTGGTAAGACAAAACATACTTAATTAGGTTATTAAAGTTAGTAATTACGATACTCTGTTGGAAACCTAGGTTTTGTGTTATTTTCCACTGGTTATTCAGAGGGTATCTGAAATCTTGGGGAAAGTAACCCACTGTATGAGATCCGGCTTCACAGTTTGAGATGTTACGACCGAGCTATTCAAGCAGTGAGTTATCTCCTGTAGGACTGAAATGTTTTCTGTTGAATGATCATAGTAGTCTTCTGTACCGATTGCCTACAACCACTGGACAAATTAACATAGTCACGAGATATCAAGTCACTTAGACTATTAGTTGCATTGCAGCTTGGTTTGTAAAGTTTGATCAGCACTCAAGTTCTAGACAAATATAATATTGCTCACAACTACTGACTGATCAATCAGTATGACTATTGATACTGTCTTTCCAAACCAAAATAGATGTAGCGAGTTTTCAACGCGTAACTCATTGGTTAATGTTCAGCTTTTAAACCATTAAGCTACTGCTGCACAAATATTTGTTGAAATATTGCTTAATCATTTTGTTTCCCATTAACTACCATGTAGATGGACAATGCCCTGGACTTACTCCGCAAGAAATGAATCAGTCTGTGTGTACGGCTGAACGTCTTGCCGATTCCTTATCATCACATTTGATTCATTTGAGAGATCGTTGGATAACAGCTGGATCACAATCTTCAGCAACGACAACAACACAATCAGGGTCAGGTGTGGACACAACAACAAGACCATCCAGTGGTGAAAATAGTCACAGCAGTCCACATCGACATACTTTAAGCAGTTCGTCTGGAGAAGGCAAAACAAAAGGAAATTCAGTGAACATAGATGATGGGAGTCAACCAAAACAAAGCAGTAATTCGACTGATGATAATAAAGAACTGTCTAGTCAAAATACATCAGAAACAAATGCAACTGATATTACTAGTACTAGTAGTAGTAGTAGCAATAGTAGTTCGGCGACAACGGGTTGTTTAGTTAAAGAATATCTTCTTCGACGGAAAACTGCTTCAGATGATTTTGTAGATGTTCGGTACGTTTCTTTTTCGCCAAATATTACTTCCCCTCCTCCTCTCTCATTATTATTAAGTACTTTATTTTCATACTCAGAAAACGCTATGTTGAGAAAGTCAGATAATGTACATCAATCAGTTATACGGAACGCAGAACATGATAAACCTGTATATGGGTTGAAGTTGCCATACCACTGGCTTATCGAGATAAAATTATTTCAAGATAATTCACAGAGGAGTAGAACTACTCACAGTATCAGCAGTAGTATAAAATATTAGGTATAAAAAGGTGTAAGGATATTTAAAACTAATGTTCTATGAAAAGATCAAGAGTGAGTGCGCCTATACCGTTGCGAACAATTCTAAACCGTGTTACTCAGTGTTTCTAACCGTTGGTTACGATAATCATGCGGAATCCAACCAGGTAGTCTGCCAAATAGGCTTCCAGATACACAAAGCTATTTATTTGAACACATAAATATTGATACAAAGGGTCAATGAATACATATGCGCCACACAAGTCATTTGATTTGTATGTGGGCTGTGATACTGCCCGGGTGCCCAGACGGAAACAGGTGGTTTTCTTAGCGGGTCACTCCCCGAGCCTTTAAGCTAGAGGTCTAATCCACATGACAGTAGAGTAACGTTAGGAGATGCAGTCCCATGATATCCGGCGAACAACGATCGGTTCACACGCTATTTGTTCGTTCAGGATCCTGGAGCCCATGCACACTATTGGTTTGGAACCAGGGTTTTTCGAACTCCCCTAAGTGGCTCCTCGGTGCCCACCAACCCGATTAAAGCGCCGGACATTCGCTTTTCTTCCTATCAATTTCATGAACAACACCCCTGCCACGAGAAGGCAGTGAGTAGGACTTCCCTGGCAGTAGTTGTGTACGCATTAACTGTTTTTCATTGTAATTTAATGTTATTTAAAAGTGTTTATTTTGTTAAACAATATCCCTTAACGATTATATTGTCCACGGATTGTCATATGATATTCATGCACTCCAGTTAGATAATAAGATATTAAGGTATTGAGAGGAAATATCCTATTTCTTGTTCATTCATGTTGATCAGTGCAATTCAGTTATTTTTTATTATCAACAAATTCTGTCTTATCATTACTGTTGATAGAACGTTTCATTTCTATATGTCAACTTGAACTGATGTACATATGTACCAGATTCTACGCTGCTACTAACTACTGATGTTTCATTATCAAACTAGATTTCTTTATCAGTAACTGTTTAAGATTTTACAGTACTAAGAAATTTTCTTAAATATATAAATAACCAGCTATCATATTAGAATTCAGTATAAACAGCCATTTTTACAAGTTTATACGTAAAGACTTTTAATGCTCAAACTTTAGGATTTCATATTGTTCCTCAAATAACGCTCAGTTTTCTCCTTTACATCTATGAGACACTGATTTGCCCTAGACGAATATCTACACTAAATACCATACCAGTGTTTATCCTACAGGACATCAACATAATTGGTATCAAGAACACGTGACTGATCCGACTATACTGTGAATACATTTTAATGTCAATAACAATAATAACAAAGGGTAGGCAAATACATAACTTGTCTAATACCTATCAGACTATCTACTATTCTGACTACGTAAACAACCAGTTGCTATTTTCTTCGCCACCTTACATCAGTTCCATATGGTAGTTTGAAGGATTTAAATAGTATTTTGTTACAATTATTATTTATCCATTCGTCAATCAGATACATATCCGTCAACTTAGCTTTGTAGTCATACTCTAAATGTAAAAAGGCTGATATTATCCAGTTGCTCAAACCCAAAGTAAATGAAACAGGGTTGGAACGTGCACATTAGTTGTTAGAAGTCGAACACCTTAAATACCACTGTGCATATTGAGCTTAGTGCATAATGACTATGTTTATTGATGTATGATTAATAAGTTAAATCAATTTATTGACTTCTTGTAAATAGTTTAACCTTATAAATATTCTTATCTATTTACATTTTATTCACTATCCTTGTGGTTTTGTTCAATTTAATATTTAATTTTGTCTTCCATGTATCATAGTGTGGCAGTTGTAGGAAATGTGGATGCAGGCAAATCTACTTTACTTGGTGTACTGACTCATGGTGAATTGGACAATGGTCGTGGTTTAGCTCGTTTACGTTTATTACGTCATAAACATGAAGCGGAATCTGGACGTACTAGTTCAGTGGCACATGATATATTGGGTTTTAGTTCACTTGGTCAAGTAGTCAATAAACCTGTACATGGTCATTTGAATTGGTCTGAAATTTGTGAAGCTTCAGCCAAAGTAAATTTTATTTTGTACCACTCTCTGTATTTGGTTTATTCGTTTTTAAATGTGCTTTAAAAGGTTTTTTCGATGATTCGGGTAATCCTCTCTTTCTCTTTCTTACACACACACGTTACTTGACTTTTCTGTAGTTATCTTTATAAAGACGGTAATACACAAATTTCTTTTCTGTTGTGTAATTCTTCCGAAATTCGATCTCGTACTTAATGATTATTTAATTCTGAAGGAATAATCCCGTTTTTTATGTTTTCTCTCATCTTACACAAATGCCTCCACAGAATTGCGTTGTGTCAAAGTTTGTAGTTTAACGATAAAGCCTCAATACTTATACATATATGATTATCTGTGGATTTTCATCAGCCTTGTGGGTTTGGTGATATATATATATATACGCCTTCAAAAATATCGACCTCAAAAACCAAGAAACAGATTATTTTACTATTTATGAGAAATATCTCAGCAGCCGTCACGAAGATCTTGAAGCTCTTTGAAATCAAAGGTGTTCACAAACTAACTTAGTCACTTCATTCCATTTCGTGCAAACCAAAGAATAGTAATGAATGAGGACAAATGCAACATCATTTATAGAATAATTTGTACATTACCTACGTATAAATGAGCTTAGATTAACAGTGAGACGATATGATATGCTATTACTGAGATCAATGCATACAGATAACCATGGATACGAATTTGATTGAAAAGGCATCGAAATTTCAAATTCTTAAACTCCAAGGGCGTCAGTGAATTTCTGGAAATATAGCATTCAGGACACTTAACAATCAACGGACACATCAACATAAAGCCAATCTATATCGAAGAGATCAGCCAACAAAGATACTCAGTGTTCATTTCATCAGTTCGCAGTTCACAAGTGACAACTCGACCCTCAACTAGCATACAAATAAATAACATAGTGGCCATTTAGTTTCGTTTAAAAGATTTTCTTCACTCTTCATCATAGTTCCACAGGTCAATTAATCTGGTCATATGGATGAATTTTTATATATGCATCTAATCACCATATGCATTCTGGGGCTCTATTCTGTTCACCTTATAAAAGAGGTTAAATAAAGATCAGGTGTTACTATGCCGATACATGATATAACTGTTTAAGGACTATAAGTATTTGTAAATATCTCGGTTCATATCTGTAGCTCAAAACTGTAAGTAATGTAACAGTGAATATCAGCGTTGGTGATACAGTTCCACTCATTATTCAACTGATTCGTTTTAATTTTCATTGTTGTCTCTTTTTACGTATTTTGTCCAATTGGTGCCAATTCCTTATTTAATTGTATTGTAATTCTATTGTAATGCAAGTTTTTAATAATGAACACGTTTTTTTTATTAGAAAGGTAAGTTCTCAAAACGATCAACTGTATGCAGTTCAGTAGACAATGTACAGTTAATACAAACTGCATAATCAGTTGACACAAATCCTAGAATAAACTAGTATTAAAAATGTAAGACGACTGGTTAGTTGGATAAATTTCTGTTTAGAAAGTTAATATCATCTCAATACCTACAAAGTCGCATGCAAAGTTCGAACTAATATCTGATAACTCCATAAAATTATGCATCACATCATTGTTGAACCACATCAATACTTTTCTGCCATCTTAAATGTAATGCAGTTAAGACATATTGGTTTACAAATCCGATCAAGTCGGTGATCTCAATTTCTGCTAAGGGTATGTTGGTGGTTGTCACTTACTAGTTGCCCACGCTATAAGAAAATACTTCTCTTTGGGATACTTGGAAGAAAACTGGATTAGGAATAGTCTTATAACCTGAAGGTATGACAGCATAGCTCTAGGGGCTGATTGTATGGCTTTTTTGCAAGCAGTAGTTGACTTCTTAACCTCGTGGTTTAAAAGTCTTATCATCGGTGAAGTTTCGTTGGGAAAGGTCAGGTGTAACTTTTATTGTTGACATCTAGCCCTCCAAATAATCTGCCTAATATGGTAAAACCTAAAGGAACGACTATTCCATCCAATATGGGTAGTTCGGGTCATCTTAATATACACCATCGACCACCATGTCAAGGTAACGGCTACGGTCAAGCGTCATGTGATTTACAGTTGTTTAATATTGATATTAAGGATACTCCGAAGGTCTGTTTGATCTGTAAATAGTAGTCTCTATAGATTAACCTTATTTATAGATAACATTAAAAGCCATTGAAGACTAGATAGCTGTTCTGTTCTAGTATTCAATTTTTCAAGAGCCAGCACTCTCCTCGAATAAAACAACCAGTAAACCCTGGTATTCTATTGTACTAGTGACAATACATGACAATTGACACTTGTTTAGCAGCAGATTAACGTTGTTCATTTTTGTTCGCCCCACTCTCATTCGGTACATTTTTTTTCTTATTTTTCTATCAATTAACCTAATTTTATGTTTTTTATTACTCAGGTAATCACATTCATTGATTTAGCTGGTCATGAACGTTATTTAAAAACAACCATATTTGGTATGACTGGTCATGCACCAGATTATGTTATGTTCATGGTTGGTGCTAATGCTGGTGTTATTGGTATGGCTAAAGAACATTTAGGCCTGGCATTAGCTTTATGTGTGCCAGTATTTGTTGTAGTTACAAAAATTGATATGTGCCCACCAAATGTACTACATGAAACAATGAATTTGTTATTTCGTATATTAAAATCACCTGGTTGTCGAAAAATTCCAGCCTTGATATCATCAACGTAAGTATTTTTTGTATATTTATAATTGTATGATAAAAATGTACCTTGGACAATTGATTGATAGCTTAACGACTACAAAGTTCAACTTTCGTCCTTTTTTCTCTCATATTCGAGCCCATCTCATCCTTTATATTGATATATACAGGGAAATAGTATTACTAACCTTGATACAAAAAATAAAGTGTAAAACTTATATCTAAATACAGAATCTTGTACTGATTAACTGGGTTATATTAATAGTACTAATAACCATGATTACTATGTAATAATGTTATCGCTCATAGTTAACTGAATTACATGCTTATCACAAAAAATGACGTTTCTTGAAACTTCAACTCAAAATTATATCTAAGTTATGAAGAACAGAGTTCATCAGTAGTGCTGATGAACAACGATTGAAAACAACCCAATAACTATTTTTCTCAGTTAATATGCTAGAAATTAAAATTCACATTTGAAATGAACTAAAATCATATCACCCCCAAATGTCCTGGTACGACCGAGAGTGGGGAGAGTCCGTTCTCCCTATCGAAATGCTCTCATATGACCGCGCATATATAGCGTCTGCCAGGGAAGTCCTACTCACTGCCTTCTCGTGGCGGGGTGTTGTCTACGGAATTGAGAGGACGAAAAGCGGATGGCCGGCGCTTTAACCGGGTTGGTGGGTATGGAGGAACCATCTAGAAGCGTTGGGAAACTCTTATTCCAAACCAATGGTGTACATGGGCTCCAGGATCCTGAGGGAAAAAATGGCGTATGAACCGATCGTTGGCACCGGCTAGCATGGGACTGCATCTTGTTACGATGCTCCACTGCCTTGTGGATCAGACATTTAGGTCGAAGGCTCCGGATGTGGCTCCCTAAGAAAACGACCTGCTTCTGTCTGAGCACCCGGGTAGTATCACAGCGCTCACACAAATGAAATGAGATTGTATAATAATAGTCTAGGGATCAAAATAAAGCTTATAATAAGAGGAATATGAACATACATAGTTTAGTTACTCAACAACTACACAATAAAAATATGTGTATAGTATTAGTCCATAAATAGATTCCAACAGTTACCATTCATTATTCTTGTCGGGAGATAATAATTACCACTTTTCAATAATTATATTTATATCAGAAAGGGGTTTTTGTAGATATTATAGTAATGTAATAGTTGAGATCATGAGTCAAGTGAAGCTAGACCACCATGTAAAACCTGTTATGAGATAGTAACTGACTGTAGACAATGGTAGAAATGTGGTCCAATTTCTTGGATTGGTTGAAGTTAGACATTAACATCGTTGAATGCCTACCGACTCATTGGTCTAGAGGTTAAGCATTCATATGCAAGACCGACAGGTCTCGGGTTCGAATCCCTCCGGGTGGGATCGTAGATGCTCACTGTTGAAGAGTCCCTCCCAGGTTTTCCATGATTGTCTAACTTCATTTGACTCATGATCTCAACTATTAAATTATATATTTATTTTGACTTGTTTACTTCTTTCTTTTTTTTATTAACCCTCTTTATACAACAACAATTAATTTCAGGGATGATGTTATTTGTTGTGCAACAAATTTCACTTCAGAACGTATGTGTCCAATATTTCCAGTTTCAAATGTAAATGGTACAAATTTAGATTTATTAAAATTATTTCTTAATTTATTACCATCAAGATCTGAGCCACGATTAAATGAATTAGCACATTTTCAAATTGATGAAATATTCTCTGTACAAGGTGTTGGTACAATTATCTCTGGTACATGTTTATCTGGTATTATTAAATTAAATGATATTTTATTACTTGGTCCTGATTTATCTGGACAATTTAATCCAATTTCAATTAAAAGTATACAACGTAAACGTTTATCAGTGAATTATGTACGTGGTGGACAAACTGCATCATTTGCATTGAAAAAATTACGACGTAATCAAGTTCGTAAAGTAAGTATTAAAATAGATCTAAATTATTGTAATGTATGTTTGTTTGTTTGTTTATTTTTCTCATTTAAGTTGTTAAATATCTTTTGGGGGTGCGGAATGATATGATCCTCTTTCTCCTGGTGATTGACTGGATCATGAAGACGTCAACATCTGGGTCGAAGCATGGGATACAGTGGATAGCTAGGATGCAGTTGGACGATCTAGACTTCGCTGACGATCTGGCTCTTCTACCTCACACGCAACAACAAATGCAGGAGAAGATGACCAGTGTAGCGGCAGTAGGTCTCAACATACACAAAGGGAAACGCAAGATTCTCCGATACAACACAGCATGCACCAATCGAACCACACTTGACGGAGAAGATTTGTAAGATGTAAAAACCTTTACACATCATTGATGAACACGGTGGATCTGATGCAGATGTGAAGGCGCGGATCGGCAAAACAAGAGCAGCATATTTACAACTGAAGAACATCTGGAACTCAAATCAATTGTCAACCAACATCAAGGTCAGGACTTTCAATACAAATGTCAAGACAGTTCTACTGTATGGGGAAGAAAATACAGGTGTTTATTAACAGCTGTCTACGCAAAATACTTCGGATCCGTTGGCCGGACACTATTAGCAACAACGTACTGTGGGAGAGAACAAACCAGATCCCAACGGAGGAAGAAATCAGGAAGAAGCGCTGGAAATAGATAGGACACACATTGAGGAAAGCACCTAACTGCGTCACAAGACAAGCCCTCACATGGAATCCTCAAGGCCAAAGGAAAAGAGGAAGACCAAAGAACACATTACGCCGAGAAATGGAAATAGACATGAAAAAAATGAACAAGAATTGGATGGAACTAGAAAAGAAGGCCCAGGACAGAGTGGGTTGGAGAATGCTGGTCGGCGGCCTATGCTCCATTGAGAGTCACAGGCGTAAGTAAGTAAGTAAGCATGATCCGAAAAGAAAGAATGAACTAAAAGTGTGAGATAGTCTTAAGGAGTGAATATATCTGTACTATTATGTTCGGTTTGGTGTGTTTCATCCAACATCTCCAACCTCTAATTAAAATAATCACGCGGACCCTAATCAACTAGTCTACAACTAGATACAGGATTCACTCTTACAGTCAATGACTTTATGGATTGATGCTACATTTTAGTCTGGGCATCCCTAGTTTATTTCCAGCTTACTTTCATAATTAGTTAATGCCATCTGTTGAGGTTGATGGTTGTTGACTATAAGTAATACATGTCTCAACCACCTCATCAAACAATTCGCTATCTTCACCTAGTACTCTGTGTCTAAACTGATTATTGCCCACTCGGAGGTCCCAACATATTTGACAAATGTTTCGTGGATAAATACTGGCAATCCATGAATATTCTTTATTTTCAGAGTTCATTTCACGTCTATAAAGTGGAGCACAGTGAACTGTTGATCAGTATATTCGTTCTTTAGTTGTCAAACTAACACCTTGCCTACCCTATAAGCGATGTAAGTTGAAAAAAGTCAATTGAGTTTTCTTAATCCTTGCTGAGATTCCGTCAGATACCAACTCATCATGGCTGGTGATACTTCCAAGATGAGTAAAGTAATTGATACATCCAAATATTTTATCCCTTATCATTAGTTCAGGCTTTGACCATAGATCAGTCCTTGAAGTAATACTTTACATTTAAGGGTAATATATTTGTTATGACACATTTTAATAATAAACTGTAGTTCCATTATATCCCATTATTATTATTATTATTATTATTATTATTATTATTATTATTATTATTATTATTATTATTATTATTACTATAAAAGGGTATGGTATTGTTAGCGCCAGAATTGAAACCGAAAGCATGTATTGAATTTATTGCTGAAGTATTAATTTTACATCATCCTACAACTATATCAGTTGGTTATCAAGCTATGGTTCATGCAGGTCCTGTACGTCAAACTGCAACAATATTAAAATTAAATTCACATGAACGTTTAAGAACCGGTGATAAAGATATGGTTGTATTTCGTTTTATTAAATCTCCTGAATATTTATACACTGGTCTACGTTTAATATTTCGTGAAGGTAAAACAAAAGCTGTTGGTAAGTTAATTAGCTAGTGGTGAAAAATTGTATTCATTTTGATATCATAATTATTTTGTCCCTTAATATATCTGTATACTACTCAGTGGTGTACGTCCACAATTGCATCAGTGATTGAATTTGTGATCTTTTAGCTTCACAACAAGTATTTCATCTGCAAACCACTGAGTTGGCATTGATTTACCCATCTATTTAACTTTATATTACACTCTAGTTGTGCGGGGGATATTAATACTACCCAATTGATTAAAACAAATTTTGTGGAATGATGTTGGAATCCACGATATTCTAGTTGGAAGATAAGTGATTTAACCGTTAGGCCACCATTTTATTTAGTTGGCATCTAACAGCTTATATTTTATGATTTCGATGAATTCACTATATTCCTTAGAAATACCATAATAGAACGAAACAGGTACTTCTTCATTTTATACGGTTGTTTAACTTAAGTTAGCTAATGGTTAGTCAACTACAACGTAGGACCAGGCACATATATGCATCGGTCCAAGTTGCCATACCTCATTAACACAGCGAAATGAACACCGGATTCATATATACCATAATATATAAAAGGAAGATTGCATACAAAGACATGGTACAGGAAGAAAGAATTAGTTCGTAGAAAGGAAAACATGAAATAACTATAATCTCATAGTTTAAGGGAAGATAGAGTGTACACACCTACGCCATTGTGATCGATTCTGAGCCATGTCACACACAGTCTCCAACCATTGGTTACGATAGTCACGCGGACCCCAACCAAGTAGTCTGCATCTACCAACATGGCTCAGACTAGAAGTTAGTGACTTCAAGCACTGATGCCACGTTTTGGTTTGGTCGCTCCTAACTTTCTTCCAACCATCCCGAACACCAGTTAGCATTGCACATCGTGGTAATCAGTGTTCAGGCATACGTAACACGTGGCCTAACCATCTCAGTCGACGGAGATTCACAACCTCATCAACTGATTTACCACCATTCCCTAATACCCTGCATCTAACCTCACTATTACTTACCCGGTGATCCCAGCAGACGCCAGCAATATTTCTAATGGTGGAAAATATATGTTAAATAAGTTTAGTGATAGTTACATTATACATATTTCCAAATTTATGTTACATATGCTATGAAAACTTCATTTACCTGCATCTAATTATTGGCTGAATTCTTCCTTCTGTAGTCGTTAAGGGTGTCAGTGGCTTAGAGTGGTTAGGTAATTTATTGCTGGTCATAAAAATGATTTGTAATTGACATGGGTAAAATGCTTACCAGTGACTACTTTTGAAAGGTAATTCACGGAGTTTTGGTGAGAAGTTGTAACTAGTGGAGTTTAACCATACCTAATGCGAAATAGTTACCCACCGATGATATTGGAAGATGTTTTTGCAATATGATGAATTAGTTAAAGTCAGAAATTAGGCTAATGTATGTCAAACCAGTAGGTTTTAGGTTAAGCACTTATTACAAAACTTACAGGTCCTAGGTGACGCTATGAATGTTTAGTACTGATAGTAGTTTCATACTTGGATGAAACAGCTTTACAGTTGTTTCTAGTTTTCAGTGTTTATCTAACTAAAGCCAGTCGGTAGTGTAAACTGTAAAAAATGTTAGATGTTCAACAATGACACTTTCTTTCTGAAGAGATGCTTACCGAATATTCTTTTCTCTCTCATATAAACATGTCTAATATTGTTTGACTTTGTATTGAACCTTCTTATTACTTAACACGTTACGTGTACTTACCATTATTATTATTATTATTATTATTATTATTATTATTATTATTATTATTATTATTATTATTATTATTATTTAATTCTAGGTACTGTTAAGGAACTAGTTCCATATTCCGCTTCAGTTCAACAAAATCCACGTGCTAAACTACTTAAAAGATATGTTACTGGTAGGACAAACCAACCGATGAATAATACTGGAACTGATGAGATAAAGACACCAAGTAATACATCATCACTCCCTAAATCAGCCGAGTATACCAGTACTACTACTAATACTATTAGTCAACCGGATACTACTGAATTGCCTAATATTCCTGTTTCTGATTTATTAACTAGTAATAATCTTAATGCATCGGCTAATTCAAGACAACGTAAATATCATCATCATCGTACACGTAAAGATATTACTGAATAAATGAGACAAAAATTTAACTCTAAGCGCTGCCACTGTGTCCAAATTGAAACGAATATTATCATCGACAAGTTTAATATTCATCTTTCAAATCAAAATACATTTCGTTTGCTTCTGTGTGTTTTAAAACAATCATTTTTCACTTTTTCTAACGTTTTCATCGTTAATTAATCTATACATAGAAAGTATCTTATTCTTATTCCTTAACAATTATTACCACTACCATATCCCACTCTTCTTTTTGTCTTTTTCTAAATTAACTACTTATATAGGAAAAGAGTAGTTAGTTTATCTATGCTAATCTTTTGAAATACATTACGTTATCATGTCGAATCTTTGTTGCATTGACCAAATATTCGTTTAGGTTGCTTACTACTCACTACCTACTTTTCCTACTCAATACTTTGTAGGTTTACAGTTTTCCCTATCGTTTTTTTTCTTTCCCCTAGTTCCCATTGCGAAACACATTTTTTGTCACGTGATAAGTACTATTTTTTATACCGCACTGTCTTTGCAGAGAAAATAACTATTCGCTATTCCTATTGATCCAACGTGATCACCAATCACTGTGTGTTTATTTTCATGACTTTTCACCCCCATGTCACTTTTAAACCTTGTTTTTTTTCTTCAAAAGAAATAAGGGATTATCTTGTATTTCCATCTTTTATTGTTTCTGTGTACATATGTAAAGAATTGAAAAGTTCTTGCATAAATATATTTAATGCAATTCATATGTATTCATTATTAAGTTCCACTCAAAATGAACCTTGTTCATAGTCTGACAGAAGGCACTTGACAATATTTTCATATCGTATTTGTGACTTATCAGCAATGCATACTCATCATTTTATACGAGACTAAATAGAGCACCTTCTAGTCTGGTGGTAACCATTTTACTATACCATTAAGTCACTGACTCAATATGCAGTCGTTCAGAATTATGGCTTGTAACATAAGGTAGTTTTCATACGATTTTCGCCGGGTATATGTCTCGTCTAGATTGACGAGTCTTTCAGTGTTAAAAGTTACAAGTCGACGTAGAAATTCCAATCTCGTTTCTAGCGTTGATCAGTCTCTGCTGTATGATACAGCTTCATTATGTTTCAAGAAAAAAGCTCTACGTTAAACTTATTTTTACAGTGAATTAATTAATTATGTGCAGTATTCGTCATGTATTAATATTCATTTAGGTATCATTGAACACTAACGAATATTGGACAGTTGTTTTGTTATATTATAGGACTAGTAAGGAATACTGAATTACGATTTCACCAGGAATCGAACCAAGAAATTACAGGTACCACATCGAGTTTTTGACTATTAGATCATTCATTCAAGTATTCAATTTTAATCAATTCAAGAACTACATAATGTATAACGCATTACAAATCAAACTAAACGAATAAAACACGTATACGCCACCCAGCCCCTTTCCAGCCAAACTAGTTGGTGAAGTCTAGCAGACCCTTCCGGAGAAGTAGCCATATCGAAGCATGACACAACTACCAAGGCTCAATAGTTGTTTTTACAGATATTTGTTTTGTCGTTTTTGGTTCAGTAATAGTTGTGCTATTTTCCTTCGTAGCATTCATAATCATTTGTGGGTAACAGTCGAGTGGGTGATTAGCTTTGATCTCTACCACCTGGGTTTACCGCTCACTTTAGTTCATTGAATTGAATCCCACTATCCAATAGGTACGACGAGGAGGTATGAGTTGGGTTTTTACCTTCCAAAACATACATATACTACTAACAGATAATGATTTTCTATACAACATATAAACAGAAACACCATTAATACAAAAAAAAAAATAAAACATAAGTGATCAAATTTCACAAAAACGACTTCAATAAGACAATAAATAGTACAAATGAAAACAGATGTAAAATAACAGAATTTATTGATTTTTGAAATTTGTATAGTGACAGAGGTAGAATAAAAAATGACAGTCAATAGTGAAATAAAACAAACACAACAACAACAGCGATTTTCTAAAATAATCAAATGACCTTTCCTTTTCCAATTGACAAGAGAATAAATAAAGTTTTGAAAATAGAGAAGAAAAATAATTCATAGAATAAATATAAATGCCCTGGTATGACCGAGATTGAGGAGAGTCAACTCTCCATCTCCAAATGCTCTCTCGCATGGACACGCGTATATAGCCTCTGTCAGGGAAGTCCTACTCACGGCTAGGGTGTTGTTTACGAAATTGAGAGGACGAAAAGCGAATGTCCGGCGCTTTAACCGGGTTAATAGATATGGAGGATCCACCTAGTCTAGTTGGAAAACCATGATTCCAAACCAATGGTGCACATGAGCTCCAGGATCCTGAGGGAACAAATGGCGTGTGAACTAATTATTGATCACCGGTTACCATGGGACTACAGTCAGTCAATCAGCTACAACGTAGGACCAGGCACATATATGCATCGGTCCAAGTTGCTACACCTTATTAGCACAACAAGATGAACACCGAATTCATAGTAGTTACTTCAATAGTAGTAATAAATAAAAGATTGTGTATAAGAATATAATACAGGAAGAAACAATTAGTTCGTAGAAAGAAAGATATAAAGTGACTTTAATTTCACGGTTTAAGGGAGGACAAAGAGTGTATACACCTACGCCATTATGATAGATTCTGAGCTATGTTAGCCAGAGACTGCATCTCCTGACGTTTCACCACTGTCTTGTAAATCAGACCTTTAGTTCGAAGGCTCTGGGTGTGGCTCCCTAAGAAAACCACCTGCTCCGGTCTGAGCACCCGGGCAGTATCACAGCCCATACACAAATCAAGTGACTTGTGTGGCGCATATGTATTCGGTACTCCTTTTTACCAATATTTATATGTTCAAACGCTATTTGTGTTTGGGATTTTGACTGATCGTTCTCTTTTGGTATACGTTCGGATTGCTTGTGACTTAGTGGTACACAGTGCAATTTAGTTTAAAGAACAAAATTCATTATCTAACAAAACTTCATTTAAGAATGACATTCTGAACACCGCAACAATACTTTTTTTCGATATCAGTGTATTTGATCTACTATTTATATAGGTTTTTATCATTGAGGATATTGAATCAATCTGTTAGTGGGAACTTTTGAGTTTGTATCATGACGAAAATTTGAGCATTACTAGCAGCTGCAATCATTGTTGAACATTTGCCAGGTCTGTTCATTGATGGACTGATGTGATGTTACTGTTTTAGGTCTTAAGTATCGTTCACATCGTCATTTCTCGTGGAAAGATATTTTGTACTTACTGAAAAAAACATTATGAGGCTTAAATTCGAAAGAAAAATGTGTATATTACATAGAATAAAGCTATTCATATGGATATTTATATAAATTACACCGAGAGTATTATGATACACGAATCGATGTGTCAATTTCCTAGACATAATTATTGCTGCTCTTAGTTGAAAACAGTAATAAAATTCAGTCACGACCGTTCATCTATTTTTTTTTCTAGTGTACTGATTGAAAGGCTGTGGGTAATCACTGTTGAGGGGTGTCATACTGAAATGAAACATATGACTAATGTCCCGTGGTTACTCACCAATCGTACTTTAACTGAGATCAATCTGTGATGAATACAACTTACAAAATCTCTTCGACCAGACAATAATAATGAATCATTTAGTGCACTTAATTTTCTTCTTTCAAGCGAACTTATTATATTGAGTAGGATTTACAAAAAAAAATAAATGGAAAAGTCAATAGACATTATGGATTGGGTACAGTGAACAAACTTCACGAACCTACATTTAAACAATCAACCATATTTGTGCACTAACTATTAAATAACTCTGTGATGAACTCCTGACGTCCCAGTGAGAGGTTGTTATAACTGATCTAGTTTGATCTATCGTAATACAGACAAGTTTTGTTTCAGTTTGGAAAGAACAGGAGGCTAGGTGGCTTGTTAGTCCTGCCAATGGTGGTCTCTCAGTTGATCCAACTTTCTTTTGAAAGCATTGACAGATGGAACTTCAATCATATGTTTAAGTAAGGGATTCCATTCGTTGATATTTCGATGGGAAAGTCGATAATCAGCTGAAAAGTGATTTGTTCTGGGCTTGCGAACATTTTTAGTGTTCACATAAATTTTCTCTTTTGGAAGACAAGGAAAATGAGGGTATATGAGGTGAAAATTTATCACTAAGTAATTTGAAAACTGTGATCAAGTCGCCTCTGATTCCTCTATATCACGATGGGAATAGTTCGAGTTTAGCTTCTCGAGTATCATACTGGAGCTTCGCTATTTGAGAATCAGTTTAGTTGTGGTTCTCTGAAATTTCCCCAAAAGCTCACTGCCTTTTTTTAGGCAGGGGCTAGCCGCTTATATTCAGTACTGCAGCTTAGAACGCACTAACACTGCACAATGTAAAAAACATTTTAGCATCGACATGGCTAAAGGCCCTACGCATTGACCATAAGGTTCTAAAACCTTTTGAGGATATTGCACGGTAGTGTGCAATAGTCTTTAAATCCCGATAGATTGATGTAACAACTTTCTTAGATGAGCTCAGGCGATATCTTTTACGTTTTTATTTTTGTTCTCAAATCTGTTTATACGTGACGTAAGTCTTCGTTATTCAATACGTTGACAATGATACAATCTAATTTTTAGTCTAGTTCAAACACAACAAAAAGAAGTAAGTTTTTTTCTATAGAAAGTTATACTTTGGATAAAATCTACATTGTAAGAAGCAACTATTTCGAGGTTACTCTTGGTACAGGTACTTACTTACTTACTCCTGTTAATCCCAATGGAGAATAGGCCGCTGACCAGCATTCTCCAACCCACTCTGTCCTGGGTGTTCTTTTCCAGTTCTGTCCAATTTTGTTCATTTTTCTGATGTCTGTCTTTATTTCTCAGCGTAATGTGTTCTTTCGTCTTCCTCTTTTCCTTTAGCCTTCAGGATTCCATGTGAGGGCTTGCCTTGTGACGTAGTTGGATGAAAACCTAGACTTAACATTTATCACTACAACAAAA